TGGATGTGAGGGGTCCAGAGTGATTTTGCTAACCCTTTTGCTCACTCTGGATGAGTACAGTTCTTGGAGAGAAGGGAGGGTTGTACCAATGATTCGCTCAGCAGTCCGGACTACCCTCTGTAGTCTTCTGAGATCAGATTTGGTAGCTGAGCTGAACCAGACAGTTATAGAAGTGCAGAGGATGGATTCAATGATAGCAGAGTAGAACTGAAACAGTGATCAGAGAGTCCTAAAGCTGCCCGTGGAACAGAGTGATATGCATTCTTTATTGTGGTGTAACAGTGATCCAATATATTACTGTCTCTGGTGGGACATGTGATGTGCTGTCTGTATTTTGGCGGTTCACGGGAGAGATTTGTTTTATTAAAGTCCCCGAGAATGATTAAAACAGAGTCCGGGTGTTGTTGTTCTGTCTCTGTGATCTGATCAGCTAGTTGTTGTAAAGCCAGGCTCACGTGCGCTTGCGGAGGAATGTAAACACTCACGAGAATGAACGAGCAAAACTCCCGCGGCAAGAAGAAAGGCTTACAGTTAATGAAAAGCGATTCTAGATCTGAACAGCACATCTTCTTTAACACGGTTACCTCTGTACACCACCTTTCGTTGATGTAAAAGCATGTCCCGCCGCCACGCTATTTCCCCGTTGATTCTGCGTCGCTGTCCGCTCTGAACAGCTGAAAACCCGGCAGATTTAACGCGCTGTCCGGTATGGCGTCATTCAGCCAGGTTTCCGTGAAACACAGAGCAGCAGAGTGTGAAAAATCCTTATTTGTCCGGGAGAGCAGAAGGAGTTTGTCCGTTTTGTTGGGTAGAGAGCGGAGGTTCGCCAGATGGATGCTAGGCAACGGCGTTCGAAATCTGCGCTGCCTGAGCTTCACGAGGGCGCCGTCTCGCTTTCCCCGTCTGCGCGTCCTGAAGCGCTTGATCAGCGCAGCTGCTCCGCCAACTACTATGTGCAGCAAAACATCAGAATAATCGAAAACCGGTAATATATCAGGTGATGTGTAGAGCCGAATGTCCAGCAATTAGTCTCTGGTGAAACTGATTGCAGGGATATAACTAAAGACAGGACAAACTAACAAAAACACAAAAACAACTGCAGAGCACGCCACGGAGGCCGCCATCGTCATCGGCGCCATCACACACTTCATGGACTGAGTTCTCAAATAAATAACGGACATACACCAGAAGATTTTATAGATTCGCTATGTCAGTGGACTCATCGACTTGCAGTGAAAAGAATTCACTGTTTTTTTTCTGCTTATTAGCTGACTGAGGATGTCAGCAGATATTGAATCAATGCGACGAGCCATAGTATTGTCGGAGAGAGGGATTTTGCCCAGCGTCTTTGCAGTTTTCTCTCCGAGCATGCAGTTTACCATATATTTGGCAACCGGTAAGCACAGATTTTCTCCAATTGTGTGGGGCATACCTCTTTTAGCTATGTGGTAACTCGCCAGATATGAAGCTTTCTGTGCATTTTTGGAAGCCCATAAGCCTGAATGGGAGTGGATAATTTTTTTTCTTCTTCTGCAGTTCCTCAAATTTTCCTTGGAAAAAACTCATAGACATGTCTTTTAAGTGTCTGTGTCTTGTTTGTAAGTGCCGGACCATATATGAGGGCTTGAGACTGCTATTGGCTAAAACTTCACCACAGACTACACATTGCGGGTTTGGACTGTCTGCAACACCAATCCATGTAAACCCGAAAGCAATGTAACTGTCGCTGTATTTGCGTTTCTTACTTGACATTTTCTCACTCTCTGATGTAGGCCTAATTCTCTTGACCAGCACATCTCTGTTGGTTTTCTCTGTTCCCGCCTCTTCTCGTTCGTTATCCTCTGTGTCCTTTCGAGCGGATTTCTCTGTATGTGCAAAGCCGTGGTCGGTGCATATCTCCACAGAAGATGCTGATGTAGATGGCTCACCCCCATTGTCCCTTGATTTCTTTAAAGTGCCGATTTTTAACCAGGTGTCCATTTTGATGAATGTAGTAAGCGAAAAAAATAAAAATACAGAATGAACTATCACTTAGCGCCTAATGGTAAAAGGGCGGGGTTATTGGGACGCAGATGTGCTTGTAACCGCAAAATATAATCATGAGTAATTTACAGCTTGTAATGTAAAATTTTATTTCTCAATAAACTTTGACATGTGAATGTTAGCTAAGTTAAATACATAAAAAATAATAAAAAGACAAATTTTCCGCCATTACAAAACATTCTCTCGCGCACCCCTGGTGGTCAATCTGTGCACCCCAGTTTGGGAACCGCTGATTTAGAGCATTACACAAGATAAATCAAATTGGTTCTGCTGTTACACAAGTGCTTAGTTTTATATCATCGATGTGAAATGATTTAGAGACACATTAAATGGGTCTTACGTTTTTTATATTCAATTCTGAAGCACTGAATCTCGCGGAGCAGCGACGGACATCTGCTCTCATCTCAAGTTCACGGAGAAAAGAAAGACCTGGAATGCACTGCGTTGTAAAAATGCCGCGATAGCGGAAGACGTAATGACGTCATTCAAGATGCGATTTCATTGGATGCGATCATAATCCTCAATATTTTACATTTATATACATTTATGTTCCTAAATAATTTATTAATCACAGGTATATTTTTTTTTTTTCTGGCAGCACTTTTCATCCTTTTGATGTTATTTGCTCTATTATTCTGTCTCTGCTACTACCCATTTGTAACCTGGGTTACACTCTCAATGTCAAATGCAGAAACGTTAATTCATGAGTTCATGACCTCAAGGTTAGATTATTGTAATGCCTTATTGGGTGATTGCTCTGCGTGCAAACTCCAGCTGGTCCAAAATGCAGCAGCTAGAGACACTGCGTCAGTAAGTCTAGATTAAAAAACCATCTCTTTAACCTGGCTTACACATAACACACTATCACATTTCTAATATTCAAATCCGTTAAAGGATTTTTAGGCTGCATTAATTAGGTCAACCGGAACTGGGAACACTTCCCATAACACCCGCTGTACTCGCTACATTGTTAGAAGAATGGCATATATGCTAATATTAGTCTCTTTCATTCTTATTCCTATGTCACCGTAGCCACCAGATCCAGTCTGTATCCAGATCAGATGGTCACTGCAGTCACCCGGATCCAGTACGTATCCAGCCCAGATTGTGGATCAGCACCTAGAGATGACCTCGACAGCCATGAAAGTCAGCGGAGACCGATGAGCCCCAGATACAGATCCCCAGTAAAGACCTTGTCTCCTAGACGGCCACCGGGACAAGACCACAGGGAACCAGTTGAGTCCTCTGCACAATGTGACTTTTCTGCAGCCTGCAATTTAACTGTTGGTTTCATCTG